GAGTGAAGCTGCTCTGGCTGGCTGGCTGGCTTCTGCTAGCTGGCGGCCATTACAGTCGAGGACGCGAGAGCGCGCCAAGAGAGAAATGGTGTGCGCGCGGCGACATAGATGTCGCCGGCGCTTACTGTATACATATAGAAAATCGGTGTAGAGAACATTATCATTGGTAGAGAAGAGTCCTCCTGTATACAATTTTGTCGTTCATCAGAATTGAAGCGATGATTGAAAAATTAATCCTGATTTGTTTATCTTCATGAGAGGATAATCATCATTATTTTGTAATGTACTGTATTTTGTGAGTTGTTTGTGACAGGTGGACTTCTTTCCCGACTCAAAAACTCTGTGTCGTATGTTTTTAAAGTCCCTTTGAATTTGATTCAGAGAGGTTGAACAGAAATACTGTACATGATAGTGTTAAATCCTGATGATTTGAGTCATTATAAATGCCAATTAAGAGGGTCAAGAAGCGCTCGGGAATTATTCTGCAAATCATTAAATTTCGAAAACTGAATTCACCCATTATTCTTGTCGCAGAGGTCTACAATAATAATGGTCTCTCATCTGAAAGATTTAATTTTATGGTAATATGGGTTCAATATGCTGGTGCTGGTGAGAAATTATCTTAATCAGCAGAGTCAAACCCAGTTATTGCTGTTGAATCATTGTGATCAATTTCCTGCAAGCCAATTTTTTCTGGCAGATACTGGGAGCAGAAAATCATAGAATCATATTTAAATATTTTCACTGCTGGTATAGTGATTAATTTCAGAGACAGTTGATCCTGACCTCAAACCTCCCTGAGTCAAATTGTTTTTCAAGTCCCTGTCTGAATCCCCTATAGAAATAATGCATTAAAAATCTCTCTAACTCAAAGTCTTTTCCTCTTAAACATCCATAACTTAAATTTTCTGAGTCCTTTTGGCTATTATTATTTTCTTGACACAGGGAAGAGAAGAGCAACTAAAAATAACTTTTTGTGTTTTGAAAGGGAGTGAAAGACCAATTGTGCAAATGAATCTTTGCCTCCAAGCTCATTTGAGTTGCATCCTATCAACTCATTGAAGAAGCAATTTAAGGCATGGAATATCAATTTCCTGAAATTCTTCCACCTATTGCCCACAAAAAAAGCTTGTTTCCCCAGCTGGAAACCTCTGTACCTCGAATTTTTCTTCTAGTTCCTTGTAATTTGACTTGAAGAGTTTTGACTTCTCTCTAAATAAAGCAGCAATAAAGTGCTGCTGAAATCTGAATGGATATATTTTTGAATTATGTGACATTAATCAGTCGCAGTACTTTGGTGAGACCAACACAGGAATTTGAATAATTAGGAATACAGCACCCGGGCTGAACTTTCCCTGTTTACTTTCTTGAAGTGGTTGTTGAAGTGCGGACTATGGCTGTATAACACGAATACTAAGACGCGTGGCTTAAATTAACTTTCAGTATTCGAATATTTCAGCAGCGTGTGAAACTTTCTTCATTACTGAACAGATTCTATAGACTAGAGTCTAGAGCAATAAGTTTGGTATTCATTTTTTGCACTTATTCTTACAGGTATGGCGGAAGTAGTTTATTAATGTATTATCATAAAGCACGCAGATTTTACTGAACCTTCTTGAGCAGATCAGATTGAAAGTTACGGGAGTCGATGTTGCTGTTCCACACCAGCCGAAATGTTTTACAGTACAGTACTGTACTTTGTTTCTTGTCTGAAAAAAAAGGACTAAAATTTGGCGTGAGAAAGAAGCGGGGTTTGTTCAGCGTTCTTATTACAGGAGAGTCATCGTAGATAATGTGTTCCTTCAATATAATAGCGTGCCAACTGCGACGACATTTTTTAATGTTTTTAAAATTGTCTCTTCGAGATTAATGTACAGTACTATATAAAATATACTAAATGTTGTGTTCGATTTATTTTGAATAAGAACTTTTAAAAATGAAAAATTTGGTACCAAACTTTGAAATTTGATCTTAACATAACAGAGATGAGGAGGCTTGTCACTAAGATTCATTCAAGTCATTTATCTATTTATCATGTCTTTTTTTAATTAAATGCCATGCATTAGTTCTCTCAGCCATGGTGCATGTAGAACTGTAGTGTGTACTGTACTGTATATAGGCAATGGATTATGCAAGTTCGACATAAAAAAAAGATATGGCTGCTGAGACCTGAAACTCCTGAAAATTCAAAAATGGGCTATTTTATGGAAGTGAACTGTGCGGATGCAAGCATCATTCACACATTTTTAAAAAAATCAAAAGGAGGGTGTGAGTGGTGTAAGGGATAGTCGTCCCGCAATACCCGTTATATAAATTAATAAAATAACGCTGCCGCTGCGCAAAAAATCCCGCAACGGGAAATCCTGTTCGGATTTCCCGATTGCGCAATGAAAATCCACCCGTATTGGAAGATGCCGTAGTCCCAAGGGGGGTTTTGTAAGGGATAGTCGTCCCGCAATACCCGTTATATAAATTAATAAAATAACGCTGCCGCTGCGCAAAAAATCCCGCAACGGGAAATCCTGTTCGGATTTCCCGATTGCGCAATGAAAATCCACCCGTCCATTTTCTAAACTATTTTCTTTACAGTCTGCTTGTTCGTCTCGAAGTGTGCACTTCTGTTGTGTTCNATTGCGCAATGAAAATCCACCCGTCCATTTTCTAAACTATTTTCTTTACAGTCTGCTCGTTCGTCTCGAAGTGTGCACTTCTGTTGTGTTCTGTTGCAAAATTTCTGATTGCGATTATTTTCGAATTTTGAAAGTCTCTTCTCTTGAAATATATTATTCTGTTTCTCTTTTGGGATTCTGCCGAGAATCCCCTGCCCTGTTCCCGGGCGGATTGAGTCTTGTATTCATTTTTTTATCCTTTTCATCTTTGTGATTTACTTTCCATCACAATTACAGTATCTTAAAAGCATACTGCATCCCTCATTTATGCCATTTGTAGATCCCGTGGACGCCGTTTGCGTTGACAAGGCACATAATGAGAACGGGCGGGTTTCGAGGCATGTTTTGCGGGCTTTCTTCAACCATGGCCAGAGAAATGGGTGGATATTTCTTCTTCTTCGGAGGCTACGAATTTACGAGGGGAATGCTGACACCAGAAGGAAAGAGCAAGGATGACATAGGTAAAGCAACGGAGCCATTAAATGCGTGTTACTTATTTGTTCATCATTATTTTGCTGGGGTTTCCCTTGATCTTATTGCCGTTCTCATCCGATTGTGTGTTCAGTTTTGTACCCAGTTGTGAACCCACATCAAAGTTGGGTTAGGTCAGTTGAATCGAGATTTTTTCAGGTTAAATTCGCTTTATAAGTTCGGTTAGGCTAGGTTAGTTCGTACTGTATTAGGAATGTTTATGATGCCATAATGTGAAAGGTTGATTAAGTTGAGTGTTACGTGTAAAATCTTGTTACATTGTTTCAAAATTGTTTTGGGAAGTTTGCCAACTCACTCCTTTTTTTAGGGATTCTTCGGACGATCGTTGCTGGTGGAGTCGGCGGAATGACATTGTGGACTGTTGTCTTCCCTTTTGACGTGGTCAAATCCCGAGTACAAATTCAGAGTTCCAACGAAGGGTTGCTTCAGGTCATGCGTCACATTTACAAGACCGAAGGAGGTTCATATCTTCTATTTGAAATGTTTCCTTGGGCGTTTTGGACGATGT